CCAGTGCAGTGTTAGCTGCAAGTCTGTTTGAGGTCCGGGGACTCAGCAGACTGAGGAGAAGTTCCTCACAGAGGGTAAACAAAGCATGGATTTCAGGAACCAGGCAAGGTACAGAATGTGGGAGTGCAAAACACAAGGTGGGAACTCAGTGACTTACAAGAGATTGAGGAAATCCTTGCTGGAGTGTGTAAGAACTGGGCTGTCAGAGTTCAGGCAGGTTTAGGGGAGTATCCAGGCCTCAGACAGAGCTGTCGTGGTTTCTACAGACTGAGCAGGGTGAAGACACTGTCCCCATGAGGTGGGACAGTCTAGGGTGTATACTAGGTACCTTTGGTTTGAGGAACTCTTCTGTTCATGGGGGCAACTTGAGTGTGGTGTTAAAGCCTCAGAGAGGCCAAGAAGCAGCTATGGAGACCAGGAAGGAGTAGGAATCACAGCACAAGACTGGAAATGGAGGCTTTATTGTAGAGGTCAGCTCAGACCCAGTGTCAAAATCTCAACTCTGTGAGGAGTTTGACGTCTCTAATGGCCTGGTTCCTCTTTTTCATTCCTTCTTGTTTTCTTCTCTCCCCCATTGAGTTCTTCATATGTCTATGACTGTATAAAGATCCTGGGTGTATTCTCCACCTGTGATTCTCCCTTTGCAGGTCAGAGGACTGGACCTCATGGTGTATGATCAGGGCAGCTGTCTGTTACTGCCTCTCATCTCTAGCTGTTATTGGGATAATTTGTTTCTTGTTCAGGATCTATTTTAAAGAAGGGATGACACACATCTTCTGAGGCCAGGGGAAGATTTTCAGAAAACATTTATATTAGCAAGAACCTCAAAAATAAATTTGATTCCTCCAACAAGGAAGCAGACTCTCCTCCAGGTAAGAAAGCATTTTGTGCTGCTCGTAGTTAGTGATGATGTAAAGGACAAAGATGATGTTAGCCTCTGGCCATGTCTCTGGGTCACTGGAGTCTCAACCAAGTGTGTTGCCTGTACACAGATGTGAAAGGTTGTGGGATTGTACAATGGAGAAGGAAGGTGTTGTCTTTTACCATCTAGAGAAAATCCCACCATACATGTTATTGTATCTTTTCTACATATAAACACACATTTATATGTGTAACAATTTTTTCAGTGTTAAACCATGACATACTGATTTTCCCCTCTATCCGGTGACATGTCATAGTCTGTTGGCATCCAGGTGTTAAGTAGTTCCTTTCACTCTCTCCCTTCTGTGATGGGGACAGAACCAGGACCTCATACATGGTTGGGAAGTATTGTAACTCTTTTAGAAGTGGTGACTAAAAACGTGGTGACTTTATCACAAAATGTGACTTCTTGACTATTGCATATTTGAAGTTGGAAGCAAGCTGGATGTCTTTAAAAGTATATAATAAAATACTATCCAATCATAATAAAACTGATAAAGAAGACATGATAATATAGAATAATGTTCATCCAGATGTGCTGGCACAAGTCTGTAGTCACAAAACTCAGGAGTTAGAAACATGGTGTTTCCTGTGAGTTTGAGGCCAGCTTGGACTATATAATGCATTCAAAGTCTGCCTGGGGTACATACTAAGACCCTGTCTCAAAAATAAAACAAAAAAATCATAAAGGAAGAAATTGTGATATAATGTAAAAAAAAATGATGGTTACAAATCAGTGTTTATGATGTTCCAATTGTGGAAAGTATACATTTATATGTTAAAGCTTTAAACTTGTTGGAAATATTTTGCCGAAATACTGACAACAATCATTCTGAGTGTCAGAAATGAGTGATTTTGTACAAATTGTAATGTTTCTATAATTAATCTGATATTTTCTGTTAGCATTTTTTTATTATTTTGAACGTCATGTTTTAGTGTTTATCATGCACAAAAAGAGTCGAATAGGAGAAAGAAGAGGAAAAAGCAACAGAGCTGAAGACATGAATTTGGTTTGTCTTTCAGCTCCTCAAAAGAAGACCATGAGTCATGAAAGTTGTCACAAATTCTCCAAGTTGCTCCTCACCTTATTCATAATATTTTTACTGCTGTTGAAAATCTTTTTCTTAGTTGCTCTGATCAGTAAGTATGCCCCTGGGAGAATTAAACACAGAGAAGGAAAGGGACTCATTAGACAGATGGTGGCCCAGAAACCTGAGACAGACACTCTCTGGAGGAATGGATGACATTGGGAATTCCCCTCTGTTTCAGAATAACTCTTCTGTAAAAGTCATTCATTCTCACTGGAGAAGCAGGTGTGTTTGTTTGTTGAAGTCACAGAGTGAAATCCTGGGGCATCTGTGTTAAGCTCGAGTACTGAGGATGAATCTATATTTCCTCAGTAGCAGCATTTGGACACATAGACATCTATATTTTGGAATGAGTAGAGGGATTAGAAGACATGGACAGAGCAATCCAGGGACAGTGCTCCAATGGATTTTCTTCTAATCATTCATTTTTTGTTCCAGATTGTGTGAGACCTGAAAGCTAATTTAGAAAAGAGTGGATTTCGTTGTTAAATGGCCTTCAAATTTATAAAAAATGGAAAACCATACCCTTTTTTGTATATGTTATAATTCGTCATTCAATAATTAATAATATCCATTTACTGTATGTTGGGGAGCATGTCAGGCTGTCCAGAAAAACTACAGTTCCAAATCACAGGAAATTTAGAGAATAGTCAAGTGAACCAGTGCTTTAAAAAATTGCATGTGAAATGCTGTGAAGGTGAGCAGTAAGAAGTAAGCACAGGGGGCTAAGAAAGGCTTGGAGCCGATGACACCTAAACCTGTGTGTGCCAGCAATGTCATAGACATTGGGGCATGTGGAGGCTTGGAAAATATGTGCAAATATAAGTACATATTACTGTCATGTGTAGCTAGAGTTTTCCTGCCTGGCCCACAGTCAGGACAAATCTCTCTCACCTGCCAGTCCCACAGCCACTCAGACCCAACCAAGTAAACACAGAGACTTGTATTGGTTACAAACTGTATGGCCGTGGCAGGCTTCTTGCTAACTGTTCTTACAGCTTAATTAATCCATTTCTATAAATCTATACCTTGTCACGTGGCTCGTGGCTTACCGGCATCTTCACATGCTGTTTGTCATTGTGGCAGCTGGCAGTGTCTCTCTCACTCAGCCTTCCACTTCCCAGCTTTATTCTCCTCCTTGTCCCGCCTACACTTCCTGCCTAGCCAATGGCCAATCAGTGTTTTATTTATTGACCAATCAGCAACACATTTGCCATACAGACCATCCCATAGCAGTCATGTATAGTGATACATGGAGAACTAGGTATGAAACTGTAGAGAGCAGACAAAATTGGATTGATCACAAAGCAGTGCATACCATATTACATGTGCATCCCCTCTTAATGTTATTTTATTTAGTAGCTGTTGCTGAACCACTAACCACCTTATAACTTAGTATGTTAATTGAACTGTTTATTTAATTGCATGCGTGGGGTGTGTGTGTGTGTGTGTGTGTGTGTGTGTGTGTGTGTGTGTGTGTGTGTGTCTGTGTCTGTGTGTGTCTGTGTGTGTATTGATCTTGTTGCATTCTCGGTTACAGTGTCTACAAACGTAATTTACTCAAGATTTGAGTAGAGAATTTGTTTTTCCCATATACTAAGCTGGAGGGCAGAAGGTGAACATGTATTACAGAGATTTAGGAAAGAGAGTGCTTAACGCTATCCATCACTTTGGCCCTGAGTAAGCAAAGATTCTCGACTGTCTTTGACATCTGTAACTGAGGTGTCTTTGGAATACACCGTCTGGCCCTAAATAGGCAGTTTGTTTACTGTCTTTGTGAACAGACCTTTTGGGAAACACATGTCTCCCTAGACCATCTGAGCTTGTCTGGGCTTACTGCCTTTCTCAGCAGATCTCTCTCTTCACTCATTGGCTCCTTTGCTGTAAAGAAGCCAGAAGTCCTATTCAGGGACTCTTTGCCTATGCCTACATCTTGATCTCTTGTCTTTATTTTTTTTCTGTAACAATTTCAGGGTTCCAGGCCTCACAGTAAGGTGTTTAATCCATTTAGAGTCTGTTTTTACACAGAATGGCTATGGATCTAATTTCATTCTTCTATATGTTGGTACCTAGTTTTCCCAGTACAATTTGTTGAAGAGCCGATCTTTCGCTGACATGTAGTTTTGGTGAAAATTTCAGTGACAGTAGCTGTGTGTGTTTATGTTTGTGGATCTCTTTTGTATTCATTCATTAATGTGTCTGCTTTTGTTGTGGCACCATGCTCTATAGTGTAGCCTAAACTCAGTTCTGGTGATACCTCCAACATCATTCTTTTTCTTTCAGGGTTGCTCTGACTATCCAGGGTTTTTTTGCCCTTCTATATGATTTTTGAGGTTGTTTTGTGTATTTATCTTATGAAGAATCTCAGAATTTCTATGAGGATTGTATTCATCTATAGACATTTAGGGTCTTTACATGAGACTATTTTACTGTTTCATTTTAGTTTTTCTTTCATGAGGGATCACTGATAACTTGTTTCTAGAATGTTTTTATTTTCTTCTTGAAACTTCTATCACGGGCATTTTAAAGTTTTTAGATAAACCTATAGTTTTGTTATCTTGCTTGTTGTAATATATGGATTACCACTTTTATCATCACTAATTAAAAATATCTGTCTGCCAACACTGAAATTTTGCTGCCTTGGTTAATGGTATCTATTGTTTTCATGTATAAATATGTATATATTTATTTAATATGAGAACTTTCTGGTTCTTGGTATGATGAGTTCTATTCTTTGGAGACCCAGACTGTTTGGCATTATGTCCTCAGTGTCTGAGTGTCCTTACACTCTGTTTTCCTGACAGCACCCCAGTAGGACAATGGGGCCCTGACATTGGTGTTGACAGTGGAAGACTAGGGTTGCTTGGCACCTGACAGAGAGGGGCTCCTTATTGTATCTGGAGAAGTCCGGAACCCCAGCATCCATGTGGTCTCCACATCAAGCAGATTTTAAAATGACTTTATGACATTGAACTTACATTTCCTTCTTCCCCCAAAGACAAAGTCTGGAGCTGTTACTCAAAGGATTGGAAGCCATTTAATTCCCACTGCAACTTCCCTAACATTGACACTGCATCTTGGAGAGAGAGTGAGAAGAAGTGCTCCAGCATGGGTGCTCATCTGATGGTGATCCACAGCCAGGAAGAGCAGGTGCATCCTGGGAGAGAGTGGGGCCCGGGCCTGGCCTGCTGTCTGCCTCTTTTTACTAAGAGGGAGTTTGGTTGACATGGGTGTTGCTGATGTGGCAGAAGGCTTTCCATCAGGAAGCCGGAAAGGTTGCTTCAGCCTTGGCATGCTACACCTTGTCCCTGCTTCAGTGAAGCTGAACAACCCGCAAGGAACCATGGCAACAGAAATGCAACATCTGAGGTGGAGGGAGGGATGAAGTGTTTCTGCTTGAAAGACCAGTTTGTGATTTCAGCACTCTAATGCTTCCTGTAGTACCCACTGCCTAACAGAGGAGGGCGCAGAGCTGACTAGGGAAAGGGGATCAAATCAGGAGAGTCACAGCCAACCATCAGAAATAACATATCTGAGGTTATGAATGGAGAATGCTTACATCTGCTAAATTCTCTCATGCACAACTTTCAAGAATGGTGCTGGGGAAGAAAAGAGGGGAGTGAGTCTGAGATGAGAATTCATTATGATCATGAACAGAGATCGTTTCTGACGTGATGGAAATCAGGCCTCTGAGTGATGACTTTGTGTCCTGGTCAGCTGGAGAAGATGGCACTCCTGGGGGTGGGGGTGGTTCTTGTATTCCTTGATCCTTTCTTTGTCTTCTGATCTCTGTGTGACCAGAAAAAAAGTCAGTCAAAATATCACAGTGTACCTCTAAAATGATAGTTAATGAGTATTAGTCTATAATTTGAAAACTGTTGAGGGGCCTAGAGAGATGAATAGGATTTGATTATTATGTATTTCCATAGGTGCATCGTATAAAACACTATAATTTTGTGTAGTTAAAATAATTTTTTAAAGATCTTATAAAAATTCAATAACAGGAAAAGAAACACTCCATCCAGGCTGAATGCTGTACTTTTCTTTTCTCTTAGGATTTCATCACCAAGATCCTGGATCCTAAAGCTGCTTATTATATTGGGCTTTCAGATTCAGGTCACCGACAGTGGCGATGGGTTGATCAGACACCATACAATGAAAGTGCCACGTGAGTCCAGAGTTACCTAGAGGAGTCCTGGGTCCTGGAGCATGAGAAGATTTAGGGTGTTCCACCTGTTGGTTATGAAATTAAAACAGCTCACTCCTGGTGTGAGTGCTGGGGATGGAGTTACTTTTATCCCCATTTCCTCATCAAAGAGTCCTGTGAGACACATGTTACTGATATTCTCAGGAGAGATGAGGAAATTGAGTTTGAAGAGTGAAGCATGATAAGTACCCAGGGCACCCAACCAAGGTGCTACACCATGGTGGGTTTCATTATGTTTTCAGTCCATCTCTATATTTAACAATAGGATTTAATTATTTTTATTTGTGTGTATATCTGTGTCTCTCTGTGAGTGTGTGCCATGTGTATGTGGGTGCCCGTTGAGCCCAGAAGAGGTTGTTGGATCCCCTGGAGCTGACATTACAGGTGATATGATCATGCCAATATGGGTGCTGGGAACAGAACTCTCACATTTTCTGGAAAAGCAGCAAGTACTCTTAATGTCTGAGCCATCTCTCCAGTTTTCATTTATAGTGTTACAATAAAAATTATTATCAAGATCATAACTGATTATTTCTCTTAAATCAAAAGCCCACATTCTGATATTGTTATGTGTTGTACTTATATAAGTATTTATAAACTCTAATATCTTAGTATGTTCCAACATTCTATCCTGATTTCTGTTGTTAGAAACAGGTAGTGATGTTATTCTCATTTTCAGTCTTCAGAGGAGACAGGTAGAAATCTAGGATAGTAAGGCACTTGTCCTAGATGTCAGAAATAAGTCGACTATCTAGATATTTTAAGTAGTTCTCCAGTCTCTAAACTAAGACTGCTCTAAAGTGGAAAAAAAAACTTATATTAAAACATGAGAATAAGGAGAGACCTTTTCAGCAATAAATAAGCACATTGAATGACTGTCGCCAGGTACCAAGACCTAGGGATGAAGTAGCCTCTGGGATGTGTTCTAGGAGAACAGTTAGGTAACAAACAAAGAGATCATTGAGTACCACGGCCCATTTTCCACAGCCATGTCAGGCATGGGTGGTGGAGAACGGTTGATTTGTACACACCTGAATCTGATTTCCACAAATTCCCACCGCATCCTCAGGCTTACTTACTCTTGTTTTCTCTTTCCCAGCATCACTGTGGGAAACACCCTGATGCTCTTTCCTCCCTTCCAGGTTCTGGCACTCAGGTGACCGCAACAGTGAAGATGAACAATGTGTTATAACAAATCATCCATATTCTAGTTGGGACTGGAATGCTATCCATTGCAATGATAAACAGAAGTCAGTTTGGCAGATGAAGAAAATATACTTATGAATCAAGCCTTCTCCATGGACATGGATTGCATTTTTATCCAGCATTACATAGACACCTGGAAAGACCTTCTTGTGGAAGAGATGACCATAGAAATTTAGGTAGGCAGCCAACAGTTTTACATATGATAATACCTGTCCCCATATGTACTTATTTATTCATTCATTACTCTTTATATAATCAGAATTTCCCATATACCAGAGACTCCACAGGATCCTTTGTGCATATGCAGAAGCACTCCAGCTTCTCTGTCCATCCTTAGATTCCTAAAGTCTCATTTGATCATAGAATTGTATGGTGTGGACCCTCTACCCACCTATTTCTGTCTTTGTTCCTCTGTATTTGGATTTATTGATGTATACTTGACAAATAAATCATGTATATTTGCATTACTCCGTCTTGACTTGATATGGAAATGTATTATGATGGCTACCACAATCAGGTGAACTGCACCCTCTATTACCTAATTTAGTTGTCTGTTTTGTGTGTGTGTGTGGTGTAGAACATTTAAGATCTTCTTAAGCAAATTCAGACAGACAGGGTGACATTGTTACCTATTGTCACTTTGATCCTCAGTGCTTACTCACACTTGCTCTGGCAGTTTGTGCCCTTCCATCAGCATTTTCTCATGTCTCCCAATACCTGCACTACCAGAGACCTTAAGGAACTTGGTCCCCATGGCTAGTGTGTCAGGTGCTGTGGGTGCCGTGAGGCTGATATGGGCCTCTAATGGTGGCTGATCCTGGGCTGGATGACCTTCCTCAACAGCCTTTGCCCTGTGGATGGACACTGAGCAGACCCCCATGTACCATGGAAGCCTGAATGCCACTTAACACTTTGGAAGCCTTTTCAACTTCTTATCATGAATAATTTGAAACAGAATTTGAGGGATGATATCATCAATACTCCTATAACTACCATCTGTAGTAATGATTGTTGACATTTTGATAATTATATATATTATATATATATTTGAGTATGCATATATATGTACATGTTATTTGATAGGGCACTTGAGAGCTAGTTTGATACATAACACTTCAGGCAATATTTCAGTATTCATCATCTGAAATTTTCATTGCACAACAAAACAATACCACTATCACTCTTTAGAAAATTTAACAACTCTTCTCTGATGTGATGTATGATCTTGCCTGTATTTTGTTAATCATCCCTAAAGTGTTTCTTATGGCTGTTCTGGTAGCTCCATCAGGAGTACCCAGGGTGCCATTACTTCAAGTCAACTGTCTGCAGAGTCCCAGGATCCCATGATACCTGCAGGTTTATGAGCTGCTAGGATGACACACTGAACTAACGATTCTGTTCTATTAGGATTATAGTTTTGTTATGTAGAAAGATACAAAGCAGATCTAAAGTGAGGGACATATCAGGTGAGGTCAGAGGGTCCCATAAAGGGAACTTCCATAGACCCCATGGATGCATCTCCTTCCCAGAATGTTAATGAGTGGCAGTATACAGAACAGGCCAACCAGGGGGCACTCATCTGAGCTCTGCTGCTCAGAGATTTACCAGAGTTCATTGTATAGGTGTGAGTGTTTGGTTGATAAGAGAGTGAACTCAGCCTTCAGCATCACTTCCCTGCCAGCGTGAGCATCTCATGGCTCAAAAGCTTCACACTTTAATCACATGGTCAGTGTTTCTGAAATAATGAGCTCCCACCATGAATCGTCTTGTTAGCATGAACTGTGAAAGAACTGAGCAGCATAAAGCTCCATCACCTACCATGATAAAATAGATTTCCCAATAGCTCTAGGGATTCCACAGAATTAGAGAGGTAACCTCCCATGACCGGGTTAGAAGTCCAGAGAAAATCTTTCTTCGACAGATCAGGTGTCTACATGATATGACTGCAGATGTAGGTGAACAGGAGAATGTGCACCATCACTGTCCCAGGCACTCCCTCACTGCTTCCTGAGAGACCCCATGGTGTATATGACAGACACCTAACACTCAACCCACGTGACACTAATTTACTTCAATACCAGAGATAAGTAAAGCACAATTTGAGTATTTTATTTATATATGTGAAGTGCTCTATCTGCATGTATGACATCCTGCCACAACAGGGCATCATATCCCACTAGAGATGGTTGTGAGCCACCATATAGTTGCTGGGAATTGAACTCGGGACCTTTGGAAGAGCAGCCAGTGCTCTTAACCACTGAGCCATCTCTCCAACAAGTTTTAGTATTTCATGCTTGTGTTGCAATAGTACCTCTTTTCTGCTGACGGGGCTAATGTTCCATTTTGAAACCCAATAACATACATATCCTGAGTACACAGTAAAGGGATTAAGTGTAGATACTACTTGATTAGGTATAGTACTTGATTCCCAAGTACTTTCATACTCCTCTGTAAAAGGACTGTTTCAAAGCCTTTGACCCATGTTCCTTTTTATAGAGTATGTTGTTAACTCCAATTGGCTGCTGTGTCCAGGTCACTTTCACTGGCCCATAGGATGAGAATGAATCTGATTCTCTAAATACAGGAGGCTACTCTACATTCAACTTACAAGAAGCTGTGATTCTCTGTGATCCTGGCTCCCAAATGGTAAATGTGGAAAGAAGCAGAACAGAATTATTGTGACCCACAGCCAGATCCTTAGGACATACGCAAATGAGAAATATTTATTACAGGACGCTACTTGAATATCATGCATGACTTATTCTAGTATATGCAGGATAGGATAAATTTAGAAATATCTTTTGCTGAGAGCGGAAAACCCCTGAGCATCTGTGACTGGAGTGAAGTGGTGTGTAGGCATGTTTATTACCGTGGAAATACTCGATAGGTTCAATAATCATATAGGACTTTATATTCTGTCATATCTGGTCTCTTTCCTTGCAGCACCTCAGTTTCTTAGTAACTTACTGAATAAAGAATGGTGTAGGGAGGGCAAGGCAGGTGTCTGTGGAAGGGTCAGGTGTGGGGCAGCAATGGTCTGGTCCAGGATCTGGGTGACCGTGCTGAGGGCTGGCCTGACAGCAGAACTGGAGCCTAAGCAGTGAGGGGAATGTCAGCATGTTGGTGAGAAAGTGTCTGGATTCAGGAGAGAGTCTCCAAGCAGCGGTCTGGTGTGAGACGTCAGAGCCTGAGAGGTAAGGAGGGCAGCTATGCTGTGGAATGGTCACTTGTAGGGAATCAGTGCTCCAGCATGGTGAGGAGGGTATCAACTCATTGGGTCACTTCCTGTGGGGAGTCAGAACTGCAAATAGGAGAGGAGAGGGTTCTGATGGAGGAACTGGGCATTTGGAAGGGTGAGGAGGGTACCTGTGCTTAATGAGGAGGGTACCCGAGCATGGTGAGGAAAGTATCTGTTGTGAAAAGGGCACCATTCACAGTGTTGACTCTATACTTTGTTGGAATTCAGAGACACAGAAGGTTGAAAGGAGCTTCTTTGCAGATAGTGGACCAGACATGGTTAAAGAGAGTCTCTATGGTGGATGTGAACATGGGACCTTAGTGTCTAGTAGGGTGAGGAGAGCATCCTTGCCTGGTTGTGGATGTCCTGGCATTGGGTGCACTGGTCAAATAGGCTGAGGAGAGTGTCTGTGCAGAAGGCAGAGCTGGTATGGGTTTCAGAGACTGGCAAAGTAAGGATGCTGTCTACCTGGTGGGATAGCTCTGTGTGGCCACTCAGGGGATGAGGGCTTCTGCACATGGAGGTGACTTTGGTGGAGTGCTAAAGCCTCAGGGGGTTAGTGGAGACTCCTCAGGGATTAGCACCAGGAGTCAGCACAAAAGACTGGTGAAAGAGGCTTCCTCAGCTGTGACATGAGAACTTCAGCGAGGTGTCTGGTATGACAGGTAACATCCAGCTAAAGGGAGGAAGGCATCAGTTCAAGGGACACAGGATTGACCTGAGGGCTGGAGCCCATGCTGGAGAGACAGGCAGCTTAGTAGAGGACGTGGGAGGGTGATGGGCAGCATCCAAGAGATTGTCACTTGAGAGCTTTCCATAGAGATAATGAACACAGATTTTTCACTCACAGAAGTAGGTTAAAAATGCTGAAATTTGGGAAAGAATTGAGACCAGTGGTGGCATTACATTAAAATGGGGTAATAGTGTGAACCCATGGTTTTCAGTATGTTTGGATACAAAAGTAAGAGAACACCTAGAAACACGAACTAAGTGTGTGTGTGTGTGTGTGTGTGTGTGTGTGTGTGTGTGTGTGTGTGTGTGTGTGTGTGTGTGTTCTCTATGCACATGTGCCAGTGGCCATGTCAGAGGAGTAGCAGGTGGCAGTTAAGGTTAAGAGAGCCGGCCCACCAGGAAACAAAACCCTGATGGCTGAATCTTGGATAAGTTTGGCCCGAAGAACCTCAGCCCCAGAACATCTCTTGCTACTGCTGTGCATTTCCATCTTTGCTGCTGCCATCTTCCTCTGGTATTTGGCATGGTGTGAATGGGCACGGGGAGATCCCCACTGCCCTTAATGCAGTATGATCATCTCTTGGTAATATCCGGTTCTACTGGGCATCTTTACCTGTGGATTATTATGAAGATGATTTCCTTCTGAGCTGTAACTGAAACAATGGTTTTATACACCAATAGTATTACTGTAAATAGAACTTTGGTGATTGAGAGTTTTTAACCAACATAATAAGGGATTATGATAGAAGTTAGTTTAGTGGGAAAATTAACATAGGTAAAGGGAGGATAAAATGTTGCTCCTGCCTCTGATGAAGCAGAGCCTGCAGAGGATAAAAAATAAAGCAAGGAAATGTCACACAACTATTTCTCTTGAAGAGCCATATAGACTGTAGCTTAGATTAATGATTAAGAAAAACAATTGAGTCCCAGTTATAGTGATATTTTATTTGTACTGAAATGTGATTTTATTTGTATGTTAATAAATAAAGTTACCTGGGGGTCAGAGCTAATAGCAAGCCATAGCAGAGCAGAGCGTTGGTGGCACATGCCTTTAATCCCAACACTTGGGAGGCAGAGCTAGATGGATCTCTGTGTGTTCAAGGATACA